GTGGAGTAGGGAGTGGGGTGGGAGGGAAACAGGTGACCAGGCCATGAGGGTGTGACAGCAGGAGAATTGACCCGCCACCCCTCCTTGTCTGTTATGTGGTGGCATTAGGTGAGAGAAAGATGGCCTCCACCCCTCATCTCTTGCCACCTGCAGCAGGCAGGAGAGCAGGCACCTTGTCTGGGCAGCACACTAAAGCTGACCCTGTTGGCTGGGGTGTTAACAGTGTTTTATTCATCAATCAATGAGAGAAACATATATACTGAAGGACATCCCCCATTACTGGAGTTCAGTTGAGCCAGCCCTGAGGGGATGAGAGCAGGAGATCAGATCCCATCATCCCCTTGTACACCACATGTGGCAATGGTGAGGGAAAGACGCCACCCTGCTTGCCACCTGCAGCAGGCAGGACAGGTGGTCTTGAAAGCATGAGAGTGGGAGAGCCTCTCACCAACAGCAGCACTTGAGAGAGTGGGCCCTGTAACTCACCCGGGCAAAACAGAGCTGGCTGGTGGTGTGGGTGTGGGTGAGCCAGACATGAAGGCTTGAGATCAGGAGAACTAGCCCTGCTCCTTGCTATCGGCTGCATTGGGTGAGTTAGCCATGGCAACTTGCCCAAGGAGTGAACATGAGGGAAAGATGGCAGGGTGACCAACACAGCTAGTACACAGGCCCAGAACCAGAGCTCTGGAGATCTTGTCCCTTTCCCCTTCTGTGAGGTTCCTCCTTGTATCTAGTTTCTCTGGCAGTGTGAATTTTAGGCTCGTGAGCCTTTGCTCTATGTCTAAAATCCATATATGAGTGAGTACATACAATGTTCCTCCTTTTGTGACTGAGTTACCTCATTCAGGATGGTTTCCTCAAGTTCCATCTATTTACCTGGGAATTTCAAGACTGACCCCAACTAACAATTTGAGCAACAATGGAAAGGCTACCATAAATGCCCTCCCTGTTAATGAGATTGACGACTAACTTATCCATCATCATAGAGCCCAAATCTAGTAGCAGATTGAAACAGAAGCAGGCACCCACAGCTAAACACTGAGCCGAACTGGAATCCAGATGCAGAGAGGGAGGAATAGACCAGGCTGCAGAGACCCACAGAGATAGCTGACCTGAACAAGGAGGAGCTAATGGGCCCCCAGACTGATAGCTGGGAAACCAGCATTAGACTGACTCAGACCCCCTGAACATGGGTCTCAGTTGGAAGGCCTGGGCAGTCTAAGGAATCTCTGACAGTGGAACCAGGATGTATCCCTGGTGCACAAAAGGACTTTGGGAGCACATTCCCCATGGAAGGATACTCCCTTAACCTAGAGGCAGGAGGGAGGACCTAGTCCCTACTCCAAATGACTTGACAGATTTTGTTGAGCCCTCCTGGAAAGCATCACCCTCCCTGTGGAGTGGGGGTTAATGGGATGGGAGGGAGAGGGAACTGGGATCGATATGTAAAATAAGAAAAAACATTAATCTTTAAAAAACCTAAATACAAGAGCTAAATTAAAAAAAAACAGAATTTCTCTTAATCAAAATTTGACTAACATAGAGTTGTTCAGCCCAAGTAATGGGGAGGATGGGGTGCTTGAATAAAAGAGTGACTGCAGTCATATCTAGTGGCCTACAATATTGCCTGGGTAGGAGTAGAATTTTATAAATAATAAATAAAGAATGATAGCATTCAAAAGATAATTAATAAAAAAAGCATGTCATAACCACCTTTAAGAAGTGATCTTTACCATGCTGAGGAACCCACAGAAACAGCTGGACTAACCAAGTGGGAGTTCAGGGACCCCAGTCTGACATCTGAGGAACCAGCATAAGACAGAAGCAGGCCCCCAAACATGTTGGGAGGCCAGAAAAGTCTATGGGGCCTCTGGCAGTAGAACCTGTATTTATTCCTAGTGCATGGACTTTGGGAGCCCATTCTCTATGGAGGGATGCTCTCTCAGCCTAGATACATGGGGTAGGGCCCAGGTTCTGCCCCAAATGACAGATATTGATGATCCCCCATGGGAGGCCTCACCCTCCCTGAGGAGTGGACATGGTGTGATGGGGGTTAGTGGGAGGTATGGGAGAATGGGAGGGAGAGGGACCTGAGATTGGTAGGTAAGATAAGATTGTTTTAAATAAAAAGGGGAAATGGTCTGTAAAAAATTAATACATTTTGTGCATGATAGCAGATGTAATATTTTATGCTTAATGCTGACTATTTTGCTCAGTATATTCAGTTTACAATATCTTTTAAATATGCTTTGTATCTAAGAAAGAGTTTTTTTTAAAATGCATCTTTTTACTATGTTGCACGAGGTATATTTGAAAATGCATTTTTAGAAGTCTAATCTGAAGTCAGATCTTTAGCAAGACAGTTCTACATTTTTAAATTTTCATTTGCACTTATTAATTCACTCACCCTGCACTCAGGGAGCTACTACAGATAATTACGCTAATACTAATAACAATTGTAAGCATTACAACAGATCAGATGGGATGGATTCTGGCACTCGGGAGTCACAGAATACTGAGTGTTACAGCTCAGGTGGAAAGGTATTCTGGCACTTAGGAGCCAAGGAATTCCACAGGTTACAGTAAGCTTAGCAGCTTACAGCCCTGCTTCAGGGAAAGGCTTCCCCAGCTCTAGAGAAGGGCTTCTCAATATAACAGCTCTGCTTCCACAGGGGAGGGCTTCCCCAGCGGTACTGGTCCCCAGGGAAAGGTTTCCCTGGCGAAAGTGTTACATCCATGCTCTGCTTGCTTGGCTAGTTCAGCTCTGCTTGTTATTTCTCTCCTGTGCTCCATTCCTGCAAAGCAAGGTCTCACCCAAACCACATCCAAGAGATTTATTGAGAGGAAGAATGTAGGAGAGTGGCTTTCCTCTGCCACAGTGTCAAAGGACATCCAGGCAACCTGACAGCCACAAGCTACACAGGTGCAGGATTTATATCGGCCAGAGTTTTTCCAGGGAGATTTCCAGGGTGAAGATTGATCAGATTTCAATCCCTGAATTCAGAATGAGTAGATCTCCTGCTCAGGGATTGGTTAGTTTTCTGCACACATTTAGGGGCAGATTTGGCCCTGGTTTCGTGGCAAAAGTGCGTTCCCCCCCCCCCCCCACACACACACACACGGCTCCTTTTTAGCCTTTTGGCTCTAATTTTAGGACCAGGGTGTATTTCTTTCACTGGCTCTGATTCTTAGGACAAAGTGTGTTTCTCTGGCACTGGATTCACGGTCAGGGTGTATTTCTTTGACTCTGGTTGCAGGGCCAAAGTGTGTTTCTTTGGCTCTGCTCAAGGTGGGTTTCTTTGGCTAGTCATTTTTCCCTACAGCTAAGACTGACTATATATATATATTTATATTTATATTATATATTATATTATATTTATATTATTTTATTTTATTATTTATATTATTTATATTATTATTTAAATAATAAATATAAATTTATTATTTATATATAAATATATTTATATTATAAATTTATATTATAAATATAAATATATTTATATTTATATATATTCATCGAAGCTCAGATAGAAAGGGATCCTGGCAGTCAGGATTCAAGGAATACTATAAAGTCACTGTAAGCTTAGCAGCTTACAGCCCTGCTCCGTGAAAGGTTTTACCAGTGTAACAGCTCTGCTCAGGCAACAGAGGGTTTCCCGGCAAAATTGTTACAGTTCGGCTCAGGGCTCCGGGAGTTTAACAACTCTGCTCCGCTAGGGGAAGGTTTCTAGCGACAGTTGTTCCTTCTCTGTTCTGTTCTATTCTGGGTTTAGATGGTCTTATCCCACCCCAACTGTCCCAAACCGCATTCAAGAGATTTATTGGCAGAGAAGAATCCAGGAGGGGCTGCCTCCTCCAGGGTGGAAAGCACAGAGATTTCTCTGAGTGGCGATTGGTCAGATTTGAATCCCCGAGCTTGAACAAGCTCAGCGATTGGCTGGTTTCCTGCTCAGTGATTGGACAGTTTCGTGCTCACTGATTGGTTGACTTTGTAGTCACTGATTGGTTGTTTTTTATGCTGAGTGTGGTCGGGGACAAAGTGTGTTTCTTTCACAGACCTTTTTTAGCCTTTTGGCTCTAATTTTAGGGCCAGGGTATATTTCTTTCACTAGGTCTGTTCTTGGGACAAAGTCTGCTTCGTTGACACTGGTTTCAGGACCAGCGTGAATTTCTTTGGCTCTGGTTGCAAGGCCAAAGTGTGTTTCTTTGGCTTTGCTCAGGGTGTGTGGCCCCTTTTCCTTACAAAAATAGCAGCTATTATTTTTTAATTAAATTTAATTTTTTTAACCGAAGACTTTTGTGCTAGTGACCCCTCGAAGGCTGTACATACATTATCTGATTTTGATTATACTATGGGACACCAGAATTATCACGTCCGTCGTTGTCTATTTATTAATTTAATGTGTTTAAATGTAAGAAACTATTTTTCAACTACAAAGCACTACGTTAGTAAACACACGGACCTGATAACACTAAAATTCGTTCCTTTGCCGCCCCCAAATCCCTGCTTTAGGACTACTAGAGCCTCTCTTTTGCTACGTCCAATTTTTCACCTCCCGTTTCACGGGAGCCAGCAGCATTGCCTGTTCCTCCCCCCCCCCCCCCCATGGAAGCTGCTGTTCTTTGGAAACCTTGACAACCAGGCTTCTCTCCTCCCCAGTCTACTCCCTCCTCTCCATACAGATGGAACTCTGGGCTGGGGGAACCCAAAGACCAAATGTATGCCTCGTACTTTTCTCGTGCTCTCCCTAGAAACACTGTCACAAAGGTTTCAAACTAAAGGCGCGCAGCCTAGGCGGGAAAGCTGGTGCGCATGCGCATCTTTTGCGCCTCCCTCCTGGGCGGGGCCAAGCCAGTCAGTCAGTTGGCTCCAACAGCGGTGCAGTGCGGATGTGCTTCGCAGCTCTCCGCGGAGCTCCGCTCTGGTGAGCGGCTTTTCTCCGGGCTTTTGGAAGGGTAAATAAGCTTTTCAGAGGGGAAGAGTGCCAGGGTACCTCACAATGTCTGGTGAGTCGGGTCAGCCTGAGGCGGGACCCTCCTCCCACGCTAGCCTGTACTGGCGGCACCCCGAAAGAGATCAGTCAGGGGTCCCAGGAGGCGTGATTCGAAGGGCTTCTGGCCAAAGGCACAACTCCTGGATCCAAAAGGTTTTTGAACAAATAACCGACTCCCCTAAACAGTGTGTCACCCTGTCAGAAGTGGCGCCTGTGTCTGTACTGGCCGTCCAAAGATACCTGTTAGAGGATGAGCCACGGGACACAGTGCCCAAGCCTCCCCTTTACTGCTATGATGTGACAATTTCAGACGGGGTGTACCAGGAGAAGTGCTACTTAGACCCCAGTTTAAACTTTCTGGTTTACCAGAATATTCTTAAAGTTGGCATAGAATTGAGAATTTACAAAGTCTCGTGCCTTTACAACGAGAAAAGATTGGGTCAGGGAATCCTGTGCCTAGATAAGGTCCACTGTGGGGAGTCCCTAGATTTCGTTTCTGTAGAAACTCCATTCAGAAATAGAGCGCACGATGAAAAGCCCGAGAGGCCTCTGATGGGCGGCCGGAGCCACTACCTGGCTCTGTGGAACAACGAAGATCCCTACGGAGATATCTGGAAGTCCAACAAGCAACCTGAGGAATTCAGTTTTAACAGTAAGTAATTGGCGGGAACGGGTGCGGGTTTTAAATAATGTTCAGAGCCTCGTGTGGTGACACAGCACTTGGTGAGGCAGACGCAAGAGAACTGAGGGGGAATTCCAGAGTAGTCTCAAACCTAGAGAGACACCGTGTCTCAACAAAGAGCAACAACAAAACGGTTAAGTGTTTGAAAGCTCATGCTAGCAGGAAAAGAATTTTTGTGGGGGGGCAGTTTTTTTTCCCCCTCTCTCCGAGACAGGGTTTCTCTGTAGCTTTGGAGCCTGTCCTGGAACTCTCTCTGTAGATCAATGCTGGCCCCGAACCTGAAGGGATCCTCCTGCCTCTGCCTCCCCAGTGCTAGGATTAAAGGCATGCGCCGCCAACGCCCCCAGCAGGAAACGTTTTGTATTGTTTATTATAAGCCAGGAAGGGTAAAGAGTCTTAACTTCATGCAACCTGCTCCTTTTGTTTTGATTGCAAAGTGCTATTCTTGAAATACCTGTCTATGGCTTAAATTTAGTTTGGCAAAACGATTGAGGACTTGGTTTTCAGTACTTCTGTGTTTAAAATATATGTATGTATATTTGGTTTTAATTAATCTTACTTGCAGTCCCATTTTACTTGTAAAAAAATATAGGTTGAAGCATGAAAAAAATCTATAGGTTGAAGCATGTAAAGATTTGGATTTTACATAAACGCCATGCTTTAACATTTAACATTTTACATAAACGCCATGTTTTAACATTTAACATTTGTTCAAAGTAGATGTTCAGTGATGTGATAATTTACATTATTAACTAAAACACCCTGTTCATGTCATTGAATGTAAAAGTCACGCAAGTATTACTTTTAGAAGATGTGATGGTTGTCGAAAGGCTTCAAATGATCATTTTTCTTGATACAGGAAACCTCCTGTATCAGAAGTAGGAAGTTAGCCAGAAAATGGCAGTTTGTCATCAATAAGTGCTCTTATAAAATCTTTATGTGTTAACACATAATATTAAGGTGGATGATAACACTATAGGCTAAACACATAAGAAATAGGTAGGAGCAAAAACACAGAAAAAATTAAAAACACTAATTTTCTATATTTACTGGTTTTAGATTTTTTTTTTATTTTTGGAGGCAGAGTCTCATATATCCCAGTCTAGCCCCAAAATTCTCCTCCTGCTTTTGTTTCCCAAATGCTATAATGATTACAGGTGTCCTTGACTATACCTGAGGATCTATGAGGATTTCCTGTGTGAAAGCAAGCACTACCAGAGGAGCCACTTTGCCCTTTTTCCTTTTTCCTTTTCTATTGTTATCACAAAGCTAAGTCATGAGGCATCTTACCATGACAAGCAAGAGTAACAAATTTGAACATTAAAAAATAACTGGTTCAAAAATATGAATTTATAGGCAAATCCACTAAAAATGATAAAAGAAGATGATAAACATATTTAGCCAATGATTACTTAGCTAACTAAGACATAAAAGCACAGTAACTATGGTATAAATGTTCATTTATACTTTTAGAATTTAAGTTATAAAAGGACAATTGACTCAGAATTTAAAGGGGGCTAATAATTATATATTACATATGTATTAATCAAACAAAGGCATATTTGATTTCTGTTCTTAAGATAGCCATATAAAGTAGATATAAATGTGATATTTTATTATAAAAAGCAATGTATGTCCAAGTGCTGATAAATTCAAATTGTATATTTGTATTTGTATTTTAAAGTATATTTTGTTAAAATTGAGAGTTCTGAGATATTAAAAGCATGGTAGTAAAATGTAGGAAATGAGTAAAATCAGGACTTCCTATTTGCTGTGTGTTTAAAATTGTAAATAATAAAATTTGGAATGTAATAGAATGCATCTTTAATCTTTGTATGCTTTCAACATTTCTATCAAAATTGAAAACTTAAGAGTTTAGTGTACATATTTGAAAATATAAAATTAATTATGTGATATTTCCACATAATGTATTTCAGGCACCTCTGTGGTATATCTATAAATATAATATTCCATGGTTTAAAAATATGACAACTTCTATAATCATTCCCATATAGTTGAGAAGTTTATTATTTTAAGCATTGTCAGTATTATAAACAGTGCCAAATATAAGTAAGATGTGTGAGTATTGATTGTATTTGAGTATTACTGTTAAAAGGATAGGTTCCTAGAAGTGGAGTTAAAGAATATCTGAGGTTTTTTTAAATTTATTGGGTATTGATAAATATTTTCTGAAAAATTGTACTAATTTAAATTGAACAACATATGTGTGAGTGTCCCTTTCCCCATATGTTGCTATTTTAAATCAGGGTTCTTTGACATTGTCCTATTTTTCTTTCTAGACTTAGGAACTGAACCTGAAGTCTCCAGTATGCCCCAGAGGAAGGTCTTTATAGCTAAACCACATGCCAAGCTTGTCTTTTTATTATTTAATTACTGGATTTCTTTGCTAAATAGTTTATTAAGTTAGTGTGTGTTGTATATTGCATATTATTGTGTGGTTTCCTGTCCCTTTTCTCTAAATGTTGCTTATGTTCTGTGCCTTTCCATCTTTTTATTAACTTTTAACTTTACACAGTAACATGAAAAGGGTTTTTACAACCCTATCAAATGTTCTCTTCTTGTGGTTATATTTTCACCTTCCCAACAAAATCTAGAAAACTTCAGGCATCCAGAAAGATTCTGTTTTGATTATTCCTCGTTTACACCCTACTTGAAACGTGGCAGCTCACACTGCGACCTTCTATTTTCCATCGATTTAAAAAATATATATTATTCTGAGGAGAGGTCTAATACCTCAGGCTGGCCTTGAACTTCTTATCCCCTGATTCTAGCTTCCAAGTGCTGGAACTACAGGCAGTATGGCACACTAGGGTTTGTTTGTTTTGTTTCTCTAGTTTTAAGTTTTTACACTTGTTTATTTGTGGGTATGGAGCAGCAGAGCAGAGAACACAGCAGTACCCTGATGTCACTGTAAGTGTGTATAGGTCATAGGACAACTTTGGGGTGTGGGGTCTCTTCTTGCACCATGTGGGTTCAGGGTGGAAAGCACCATTACCCACTGAATCATCTTGCTTACCTTTTCTCTATATTTTGGAGAGATGGTCTTACCTTACAATCCAGGTGGGCCTGGAATTTATAGTTCTGCAGTCTCTGAGACCACAAGCATGTGTACCATTATGCCATTATGTAGTTTATATTGGCTTTTAATTCATTTTATTTATTTATTTATTTATTTATTTATTTTGGTGTGTATGAATGCTTTGCCTGTATGCATGTATATCTACAATGTATGTGCCTCTTGCCCAAGGAGGCCAGGTGTTAGATACTCTGAACCTGGAGTTATAGATGATTGTGAACCATGTGGTTGCTCAAGACTGAATACATGTCCTTTGCAAGAGCAACAAGTACTTTTAACTGCTAAGCCATCTCTCCAGCTCCTGGAGAAACCATTGAGTTTTGCCATTGTATAGTGAAAACAATATAAATTACTGGATCTGCTTGTATTTCCACAGAACTTCAGGCAAAGCATGAATCTAATATATATATATATATATATATATATATATATATATATATATACATTATATTTTTTTTAATTTTTGAGATGGCCTATATCACATGCTGGCATGAAACCTCTGTTCTTCCCCTGAGCCTTCAGAGTCCTGGAGCTAAGGACTTCAAATCTAGCTTATTTATTTATTTATTTATTTATTTATTTATTTATTTCTGTGTATATGTGTGTATCTGTGTGTATACATTGCTAGAGTTTGAACTTGAACCTTGCCCGTGCTCTGCAAGAACTATACTACTGAGGTATATCTTTAGTTCTTCTTCTTTTTTTTTTTTTTTCAAACAGGGTCTGGCTTAGCTGCTTAAATTAGCCTTCAACTTACTTTGTAACCCAAGCAGGCCATCTTCCTGTCCTAGACTCTCAAGCCTGCATCACCAGCCCTGGCTGTACTGGTAGTTTCTAAGGCACATTTTACTCTTTAAGAATGTAAGGCTGGAAAGTTGGCTTAGTGGGTGGGAGCAAGTGTGCAGTCAGGCTCATACTTTGCAAGTGTGAGACCTGACTTTACATCCTAGCATCCCTATTAAATAAAAGCTTGGTACTATAATGTTTGTGACAGGAGTGAGAGACCCTTCCTGTGTTAAAGTAGTAAGACAAGTGACAAAGCTGGATTCCCAATGTACTTCTCAGCCCACAATACATGCTCACATATTATTAACTGTATTATCAACAGTATTAATTGGTTAATACTGTTGGGTTAATATCTTATGGGTGAATGTTATCCTATCAGAGTGATAATTTTCCTATCTATTTCTTGTTGCTTCAAATTCTATTCTTTTTCTGATAATTGTATTTAATATTTTGGAGGCATTTAGGGTAAAACTTATAAATGTGAGCAGTGTACCTCAAAGGTGTGTGCATTTGTGTTGATACAGTTGCTCATGTATGTTTGGAGACCAGAGGACAACCTGGGATTTCATTCTTTAAGTGTCTTCCACTATGTTATTTTTGAGACAATATCTCCCTGGCTTCTGACTTGATGAGTAGGCTAGCCACCCAGCAAGACTAAGAGATCTCTCTGTGTCTGTCTCCTCTGTGCTGAGAATACAAGGCTATACTACCATGTATAGTTTTTCTTTCTTTTTTTTTCTTTTTTTGCGGGGGTGGGGGGTGGGGAGGTAGTTCTTTGAGTCTAACATGAGTCCTCATGTTTGTAAGACAAGCGATTTCCTGAGTGATCTATCTTTCTAGCCCCTCAAATGCGTTTTAAAATACAGTTTTCTGAGTCCCACCATAAGTTTCTGATTCATTAGGGTTGCAGTAGAGTCCCACAAGTTTGCATTTCTATCAAGTTACTTGGTAGTGATGCAGATCCATTATTTTTAATTTTATTTAATTAATATTTTTCATTTATTTTATATACTGACCACAGTTTCTCCCTTCCTCCTCTCCTCAACCCCCCCCAGTCTCCCATCAACCCCCCTCCCCACCCAGTCCTTTTGTCTTCATTCAGAAAGGGGCAGGCCTCCCATGGACTTGAACAAAGCATGGCACATCAAGTTGAAGTAGGACCTAGCTCCTCCCCCTGCATCAAGGCTGGACAAGATAATCCAGCATGGGGCACAGGTTCCCCCAAACCAGCTAAGTGCCAGGGATAGGTCCTGATCTCACTGCCTTACAAAGACCAAGCTATATAACTGTAACACACAATGAAAGGGTCTAGGACTGTAATTTGCAGTGGATTCCTGGAAGAAACAACACTTTTAACATCACTGAACAAATACAATTTTTCCTATCTTTAATTTCAGTTTTGTTCCATATTTGTATTTTCTAAGACTGTTAAGATTCATGTATGTGAGGACACATGAGCATGTAGATGGTGGTCTTCTGAACATGTGTGTATATAACTGTGCAGTCCAGAGGTCAAACTCAAATATTATTACACATATACATATTTTGACTGCATATGTATATGTGTAACACATGATTTCTATCACCCAGCAGCAGCTCCCAACTATTTGTAATTTAAATTCAAGGGGATCTACCACCTTCTTCTGGTGTTTGTGGGCACCAAACAAATAGTTGGGAGCTGCTGCTGGGTGATAGGAATCAAACTTTGGTACATTGAAAAAGCAACCAGTGATTTTAACTGATAAGCCATTACTGCAGCCCCTAGAAGCTATTTTCTATTAAGCTAAAGTGATTCATACTAATGTAAAACAGTCTCACTTTCTCACTGCATTTTTTTTGTTTCATGTGTTTGTGTGTGTGTGTGTGTGTGTGTGTGTGTGTGTGTGTGTGTGTGTGTGTGTGTGTGTGTGATATTGGGGGTTGAATGTAGGGCTGTATGCATTCTAAGAAAGTGCCGCACCACTGAGCTAAATTCTCAGCCCTTCCAAATGTTGATTTGTTTTCTATTTTTGTCAGTAGTGAGGATTGAACTCATGGCTTCATGCATAGTAGGCCAGTGCCCTGAAAACTAAGCTGTATTACCCAGTCCTGATTTTATTTAAGAAATAGTCATTTTCAAAATAATGTCATTTGTAGTAATATATTTAGGTTCATTATTAAATTAATTGATGGCTTCTTCATTTCTAAGTGTATAATGTAAATATCAACTATTCAGTATAACCTACATAAAGCGAAAACTCTTCTAGGTGTTTAATATCTTTTGGGCATGGTGGCTCATACCTTTTATCTGAGCCCTCAGGAGACACAGGCAAATGGATCTCTGAGTTTGAAGCCAGCCTGGTCTATATGTCGAGTTCCAGGACAGGCAGGAATGCATAGAGAAACCCTGTCTCAAATACCCCCCAATAAAAGATATTTACTAATTTTTGAGAATGTTATAAGGTATTAAGACTTAAATTTATAGAATAACCATTCCATTGTTTATTGCTAAATTTTGCATTGAGTACCTAAGTTATTTTCATTCTTTTTTGATAATGAAGCATATGTGTTACATTGAACTTACACTGTAACTCTTATCTGCAATTTAGGTTTGAGAATTATCTATATTCTATAAAGGTTTTTAAGTTAAAAACACACTCTTGGAAAGCTGTGAAGTGGCCAAGTGATGTCTAAATAAATAAAGGAACTGCATCTGCCTTACTCAAGAGTGCTCCATGTTCAGTATAGATAATTCAGAATGTTTCTGTGATTTGACTATATTGAAAAGGAAATTGCTTAATTACAACGTATCAGCTATTAGAGCCTCTGAGTCTGTGCTAGTCATATATTTTGAGAATTTGCGAATAAACCTATCCATAATGCTTTTAATATACTTCACATTTGTTTTTTATGAGTTATAGGAATAATTAAAACAACATTTAAAATTATTAAAAATAAATTATAAGTGTTATTTTCTTGCTAAAATAATGACTAACAAATACATTCTAAAAAATGGAAATGGAATATATTTCAACAAATATATATGTGTAATACATTGGAGTTTCTGATACAAATTTAGGTTTTAAAATTGATATTGTGGGCTATGAAAACAAAATATAGAGAGAACTCGAGTTAGAACACCCTTTAATGATAGAATACTGAAATCAGATTTACAATTTAATCCTTAAGGGTGATGAACAGTCTTTAAAAAATTTTTGTTCTCCTGGAGATTAAGATGTTTCAAAATAAATGATATGGTGTATGTGCAAATAATAGGTACTGTATAGGAAAACATAGTGGGTGGGCAATACATAAGGGATTGGTTTCATTGGGGTAGTTAGGGGCATTGCTGAGAAAGTGCCCCTTGTGCAAAATTTGGAAAGGGGAAGAAGGAAGTCACTTATACATCTAAGAAATATCTAAGAGGAAGATGTTACTGAAATAGAGGATCAAGTGAGAAAACAGAAGGTGGAATCCGTACACATGAAGCAGATGTGGGGACAATATGGAAAAGTGTCAGAAACAATTCTCTTATCTGCAGTGAGTGGTGCATGTGTGCATCTCTGGCACCTGTTTTGATGACACAGGAGTATCATGATGTCCGGTTCAGCCCAGACTGAATAAATAAAAAAAAAATACATGTGCATGCGTGTTTGTGTGTATGTATGTGTATGTCCATGCATTCACATGCTTTGTATGTAAATGCAGGTTTGTAGGCTTATATGTACCTTGACCTGTATGTGGAGTCCTTGCCTTCCATTTTGTCATCTTCAGGAAGACTATCCACTTCCTTGGAGACAGTCATCTAGATTAGCTGTCCAGTGAGCCTCAGGAAACCTCTTTTCTCCACCTTCCCTGTGCTGGGATTACAAATGTATGGCTGGCATTTTTACATGGGTTTTAGTAACTGAGCTGAGAGGTCCTTGCACTTGTAAGGCAAGCATTTCACCAATGGAATCATTGCTTGCCCAGTTCCCTGACTTTTAGTAAGATAAATAAGTGTATTGGTTAAAAGAAAAATTGACTGGAGGAAAATAGCGAGAGATTAATTTAGATCCAAGATTTGCATAATGTAATGAAATTGTTTAATGTGGTAGAAGGCAAATTAAAGGAAACACTGTTTTACTTTATGTGTTTATCTAATTCCATGTGGTAAGTCCTATATTTTCATTGTTCTTTATATATAATTTATATGGGACAACTACATAGACAGGCTCTAATTTAAAATTTAATCTTTTTTTTTTTGGCTTTTCAAGATAGGATTTCTCTGTAGGTTTGGAGCTTGTCCTGAAACTCTCTTTGAAAACCAGACTGGCCTCAAACTCACAGAGCTCTACCTGCCTCTGCCTCCTGAGTGCTGGGAGTAAAGGCATGTGCCACCACCGCCCAGCTTTAATTTAAAAATTTTAAAAAGATCTAGCTTACATGAAGGAACTGCATTAGCTATGGTCTGCCTATCATTGTTAACATTAAAATGGATCTTTGTAACTAAGATGACACACTAAATACAATTTTATCTTTTTTATATTCTAGGCATCAAAATAATCACACTCTCTCATCTTGAAATGACCTGGAATAGCAGAAAGAATTTTCCTGCCTTGCTTGTGAGGATCCTGCATAAGTCAAAATTGAGATACTATGGGAAACCCCATAAAAAGACGATTGAGCCATATCAGGTACAAGTAGTGCTTACATAATGTATGTTAATTTAAATTTATGGATAACATGGAAACTTAAGTCTATTGGCAAAATGTATTTGTTTAAATAGCATTTTACTAGTTCTGTTTAATTTAACTGCATGCAGACTTTTTTTAAAAGTAGTTTTCCTTTTCTTCTCTCATACATCCTGACTGCAGTTTCTTTCCCCTTCCTCCATTCTTCTCAGCCCCCCCTCAACTTCCTCTCTCCCCAAGATCCATTTCCCATCCAAAAAGAAAAAAGAAAAAAAAAAGAGCAGGCTTCCTAGAGAGATCAGCCCAAACATAGCCTAGCAAATTACAATAAGACTAGGCATAAACCCTCATATCAAGGCTGGACAAGGCAACCCAGTAGGAAGAAAAAGGACCCAACATCTGGCAAGAGTCAGACCACCCTACTTCCACTGTTAGGGGTACCAAATAACGTGTGGCTACATAACTATAGTGTATATGCAGAGGACCTACCTCAGAGACATGAAGGCTCTGTGATTACTGCTTCAGTTACTGTGATCCCCCATGAGTCCTGCTTAGTTGATTCTGTGGGCCGTGTTCACATGGTGTCCTGGACCCCTCTGTCTCCTACAATCCTTCATCCCCCCCACCTTCTGTGAGGTTATGACTATTGTTTAGCTATGGGTCTTGGCATCTGCTCCCATCAGTTGCTGGAGAATGACTTTCTGATGTCAAATGCCATCAGTTGCTGAAGGATGACACTCTGTTGTCAAATGGGCTAATCATTGATCTATGAGTACAGCAGAGATCATTATGAATCATTTCATTGAAATTCTTTTAGGAGATAGAGGGTAGAAAGCCAAAATATTTTTTGTAATTTTTCTATTAAAAATGCTTTGGTGTTTGGCATGTAACTCAGTGCTAGAGCACTTGTCTATAATATGCAAGGCCATGGGTTCATTTCAGTTCCTAGCACCTCAAAATGTATTTCAAAGGGAAAAAATCTGCTAAGTATGAAACAGGTACTTATGATCTTCAGATTTGGATCTACCTGGTCTCTTTCACACTTTTTTTCCTTGATTTTAATCTTCTTCTCTGTGCTTTCTGCACTAGCATGTAAGTAGGCTCTAGTGGCTAGTCAAAAATTTTTAAAGGAAAACAATTTAGTAAAGGAAAGAAATATCCCTGGGCCATTTTCTCTCTTCAGGTGAGAATTTTGAAGATGTTTTCTCTTTCTTGCCTTCCATTTGTTTCTCAATTTCTCTGTTCCAGATACTGCTTTCTGTATTCATATAGAATATGTCAATTTTCTTGATATTTATGCTCTACTTTTTTAAAAAAAATCTTAATATTCCAATATAGTTTCTCATGTATCAAGAGCTAGTTTAGGTGTTTTATTAACTGTGGTTTGTGAAAATCATGTATACTTTTGAAGGGAATTAAGAGAAAATATAGAAAGATATATTAAGAGACTAATATCCAAAATTTTACCACTGAGAATATCTACTGTTAAAATGGTATTATTCTCTGTCTTAGTTGTATATGTCATACATAAAATTTTATATTTGAATCCTATACATATCTATACATATCTATCATGTACTACACAATATGTTTATGTGTTATATTGCAAGCAATTGCATGTGTCATAGCTTTATAATAACATAAACTGGTTTCTAGTATTAGCTGATTCAGACTTTTATGGCATTAGTTATTTGTCTTCTTAAAGCCTCAGTTTTCTAAATTATAAATATCTTACAAAGCTGATATGAAGTTATGATTTCTTAATACAGGTAAATTATTTAATTGTTTTAGGCACATACCAAGTCCTCATTTTACCTATTATTAGGGATAGTGTCTGATTCAGCTATTCGTTTTACTCAATGCCTAACACAGTATCTGGAGGATAATATGGACTTGATGCATGTTTATGTGTTGAAGGAATTAATTGCCAAAGTTTGTTGTCATTGTTAAGAAACGGGATCTTAGGATATATTATTTGAAAATAAATTAAAATTTGAGCTGGAGAAAATTTTGGATACTGTTCTTTAGATGTAACCACTGTTCTTTAGATGTAACCAGTGTTGTCCATTTTTATTTTTTAAATGGAGAACATACTTTATGTTGCAAAATATTTGTTCAACTATACCCAGATTAAGCAATAATGATGTTGGCATCAGTATTGCCTTCTGTCAAATAGTATAACAGAAATAATTCTCATGCTATTTATAACGAATTGTAAAATACCAGTATAAGTAAATTAATGTCATCAGAAAAGTCTACCTAAAGTGCTATAGTTATGCTTCAGTTATGCAAATGATGAAGAAGGCTATAAATGTCTCTTGATGACTATATTATGTGTACTCTGTGTATGGTACTGGGCTAAGCATTATGGGGAAAACAAACATAACTAAGATTTGCTGTGTGCCTTTGAAGTTTATCATCACACAGTTAAGTCAGTACTGTGTGACTGACTTCCAGTATCTTGTAGCCATCTTTCTTCACTTAGCAATCTTAGCAGAGTTAACAGCTGAGTTGTTATGAATAAAAAATAAATGTTAAGTGTTATTTTTCTGTAAGTATAAATTTTCACAGGTACTACCTTTTGTGTCACCCATATAGATAAAAATAGTAAATGTACATACACTTTCACTCTTCTAGACCTATTTGGAAGTTGCTGACAGTTCAGGCATGGTGTCAGTGATTATGTGGAATGATTTGTGTCCAGAGTGGTATAAAAGTTTGAGAGTGGGCTTGATTCTTCTGCTTCAAAATTATTCTGTGAAGAAGAGCCACCCATTCAGAAGACAGCCAGAGCCTGTGGATCCACACATGAAACTAATTTCTACAATGGGTTAAGTATTCAATTAATTCTTCTAACATAGCTATCTTGCTGTTATGAATTTGCAGAGTGTCATATCAGGCAAAAGTCTGTAAACATTACTAAAGCTATTAGAAATAGACACAGTTAAATTCCTTTACAAAAATTTAAGCACTCACTGTATTAATGAACAGATTAATTTATTAGTGCATTTATTAAGAAAGATTATCTGAGACATTTATTGTTATCAAAGAATGAGCTCCATTTAGGATATACTTAAATTTGGTTTTGTTCGTTTTTTTGGTGTGTAATAAATTAATCACTTTAGTATATTTTATAGTTACTATAAAGTACTATACTGAAAGTATTTTTATTAAGTTAAAAATATTTTTATTATTGTGTATGTGTGTGAGAGTGTGTGTGTGTGTGTGTGTGTGTGTGTGTGTGTGTGTGTGTGTGTGTTTGTGTTTATAAAAGTCAGAGGACAGCTTTGGGAGTCTTTTTATTTCATCCACCTTGTTATCTGAGGACCAAACTTAAATCATTAGGTTTATACAGAAAGTGCTTTTAACACACTGAAACACATTGAGCCATCTTGCTAACTCATGTTAACTTTATAATGTAATGCCGTTACTTTTTTATATAATGGATAACAATATATAAATCTAGAAAGTATGAATGCTACTGGGAAATGATATAAAGCAGATGGTATAAGATATTACAAAATGTAATGATATATAATATATAAATGTAACTATATAGTCTTTAATCTTTATAGATACAGATGCATATGTAAGATGAATAAATATTTCAAGCAAACACCAAACACTGGGGCAGTATTTATCTCAGGAAAGCATACAAAATACAAATGTATTTGGATGAAGTTTATAATCCTTAAATTATATTTTTGTAACTGTATTACTTGAAACAGAACTGAAGGCAAGACCATGTAGTTTTTGGACATGTGAAGTTAAAACTTCTCACTTTGAAATAACTTCAAAATTACATTACAGTTGAATTAATATTATAAAGAATTCCCACAGCACCTTAACTAATCAAATAATTTTGAGTTTTGTTTTTGCTATTTAATTCTTTCTCTATATACACACACACACTTACATTTGGAGACAGTAACAACCAGCATACATCATTGCATGGCTTTTTGTCCTTAACCATATATTAATCATCAATATGTTTTTCTGAAGATCAAGAATATTCTAGCCATCTGTGCTACTGCAGCCTCTTGTGATGATAAGGCAGGAGAAGTACATGTTCAAGGCCAGCCTTGCTCTGTGGCAAGTTCTTGTTTTAAAAAAATAAAAATAAAATAAAACCAAAAAAAAAGCAGTTTATTGTCCAATCACAGTACAATTATAAAAATTAGGAAACAAATTTAACACAGTATTATTATGTAACCTTTCATGAATATTCAAATGTTGTCAATTGCTATAATCTTGAAAGGACTTTTGTTATTGTTTAAAACAAGGTCTAGCTCTGAATCTCAAGTCCTCATGGAAATTACTGGGAGGCCATCTTAGCAGGAAACTTATATCAATCCAACTGCTTCAGCTTATATGTGTGCTATGGATCCCAGCACAGATATATTTCTAGTTAGTATTATAATCAAATTTTGATAACCAGTTTTCCAAAATATTTTAGAGGTATTTAGTAAATTTTATAATTATTAGATATGCAGTTATTTTTTGAGATTTAGTCTTTTTTTCAGAATTTTGTGTAACCTTAATCAAATTTTAAGTATTATTGATGGCTTATAATAATTTTTCTGAACTTGTATTTCTGTGTCTCAATTTCTCAACTAATTCATTAAGCTTATTCAAAGAAAGGTAACATGTTAATTGCTTCCTAAAACATGAGTGTATTTGGAACAACCCCATGATTCTTTCTTAAAATAATAACCATTTTGCAAACATTGTTTAACTCTTGCTAGGAAGAAATTATTACCAAAATAATTCAGGTATTTAGTATTTTATATCACTAAAAATTATCATAGGAAAGATGAGAAATAAATTTTTAGATACATTGGGTATTACCTGTAGAAATACAGCAAAAGTTTACCAGAAGCTATTAATAATTGACAGCATACACTACTACAACTAGGAAATTATAAATTATATTTCATAGGCTGACATATCCTAGTGACAGAATTGCTTTAGTAAAGAATGGGGCATTCTTAGTCAGCTATGGTAAGTTTATTTGTGACAATAATAAATTACCAAAATCTCTTGATACTAGCCCAGAATTCCTTGTACTAGATTACAGTTTTTATAGAGTTAATTTAAAGTATTTTTTGAGATTTTAATACTTGACTACTGTACATACCTCTCTCTTTCCTTCCTCCAACTCATCCTGTGCCCATTTTCTCAACTTAATGACACTTATCCACTATTGTTATGTACACTTATGCATAATAATAAGTATATACATATGTATTTACCAGTTATAAAACATATGTGTATTTCCATTTACTGTTGCTTATATGTCTATGGGTTTAGGGCTGACTAGTTAAGATAAGATAACCCATCAGAAAGCTACAGAAAACTGACTTAGCAGTCATTTATTGCCTTTAGCTTTTTAATTAGAGGTGGGGATCTTGGAAAATGTACACCATATATGTTGGCATGTCAACAGGTGTTGTTACATATCTTCTTTGGATAACCATGCTGAGAGCTCATATTTAGAGCTTCTCTGCCATGTTTGGAAGATACTATCGAGCAGTAGGCCTCCTGGTTTTCCAGCTCTTACAACCTGCTTGTGTCCTTCTTCCTCACAGTTCCCTAAGCTTTCAGAGCATGAGTTTTGTTGTGGCTATAATCCACTGGAACTAGGTATGTGGGAATACATGCAGGCAAAAGGCTGTATACATAATAAATATAAATAAATCTCTTTTAAAAACTAAGGATTTATTATTCCCTACTGGTAATATATGGCTTTATATATTGCTGTTCTTTTTCTGTCCTCTTTTCCAAATGTAATATTCATTAGATAGCAAAATAATAAATGCTTTTGAGGTCTTGAGATTTCTAGACTACATTGTATAATGTGTAGTAAAATGATTGAACTAAGTGTTTTTTTGTTGAAAGATGTGTACTTGATTAGGAATCATGGTATTTCGGAGCTGTAAGTAATCTGTTCCATGTAGTCAAATGTTTATATGCAGTATAATTCAGGGTTTCCTATAGTTTGTTTAAAACAAAAACAAAAAGCCTTACCTGCTTGCATAAGAATACATACAAAAAGCCAGGCATTAGTGGTGCATGCCTTTAATCACACACACACACACACTCAGGAGACAGAGGCAGGCTGATCTCTGTGAGTGCCAGGACAGCCTGGCCTACAGAGCTAGTTCCAGTACAGGCTCCAAAGCAATACAGAGAAACCTTGAGAGGCAGAGGCAGGAGGATTTCTGTGAGTTTGAGGCCAGCCTGGTTTACAGAGCAAGTTACAGAGAATTCAGAAATACACAGTGAAACATGTCTCAAACAAAACTTTAAAAAGTGTTTAATTGATGATTTTGCTTTGTAATGTATGCATATGTATATCCCTTAATATGGAAAATGATATATTAAAGTAATATATTTGATTTTTCAGAAGTCTGCCTGAATCTTCGAAATCCGCCAAATAATATAGTTATCATTCCGGAAAAGCAATTGAAATCAGAATGGAAATTACCAAAACTAGCTAACCGATTTATTACAAGGTAAAATAGTTTCTTGTAAAACCTCTTAAATATTATTCTTTAAATGTAAGTAACCATAATGTAATGAATTATATCTTATTCAGATCTATCCTAAATTAAACCGTGTCAATTATTCAGATAGGTATTTTCATAGTTATTACTGAAGGATGTTTTGTCACTGTTTAAAGATATAACACCTATTTAACAATTATATTTTTTTCAGATCAGAGCTAGATGAGCTTCCAGAAAAATCCATCTGTGATGTAATTGGCATATTATCCTTTGTGGGAAGGGTGCAGCGGTCAAAAAAGAAAGGTGAACTTTTAAATTTGAAAGTGTTAGTGAGTGTTTCAATGTGAAGATTCTTGTGTTCAAATGCATACAATGACCGTCATTTATTTTGCTGTTATATCCACATAGATCATGGTGAAGATTTTTGGTCATATCGCTGGATTCACATAGCTGATGGGACTTCAGAGCAACCATTTATAGTGCAGCTGTTTTCTACATCTCAGCCAGAAGTCTTTGAAAATATTTACCCAAGTACTCATTTTTTTTTTTATCTTTTTATTGTTGGAAATAGCAGTAAGAACTTAAAAACAGTAAAAATGGTGGCTGGAGTGATAGCTCAGTGGTTAAAAGCACTTGCTGCTCTTGAGAGATCCTCAGCACACTCATGGCGGCTCCCAATAATCTGTAGCTCCAGTTCTAAGTTACTTGATGCTCTTCTGATTCCTGTGGGCACTAGGCACACACATAGTGCACAAAAATACATGCAGGCAAAATACTCATATACCTGAAAGTATATATTTGTTGTGTTTAAAGGAAAGTGAGGTGATAAAGAGAAGTGGCATGACAATGACATAGAAACACAAATGATCAAACCTTTCTCATATTGATATACTTAATAGTCTATATTAATCACTTGTCTATTCAGGAGTTATCTTAGGATTTAAAGTGTACTACTCCCTTATTCCCATCACACAACCCACTGGTCCTCTTATTTTTTCCCAAATTATACCCTTCCTACTTTAAAATATAGATTCTGCCAGTGACAGAAAAATCTGATTCATGCCTTTCTGCATCTGACTTATTTAGCTTAACATGGTGATCTCTAATTCTATCCACTTTCCTCACATGATTTCGTTTTTTTATGACTGATAAAATTATACGTATATATGTATAATTTCTTCCACTTAGCCCATTAATGGGTGCCTAGGGTAATTCTATATATCTTAGCTATTGTGGATGCTACAGTAGTAAGCATGGATATTCAGGCATCTCTTGTATGTTGCCTTTGATTCCTTCAAATGAAAAGCTAGAAGTTTTATGACTGAACCATAGGTAGCTCTGTTTCAGAATTTTGAGGAACCTTTATGCTGACTTCCATAGTTTTTGGAATAATTACATTCAGACTAGGAGTGTTTACAGTTTGCATTTGCTCCACACCCTTGCTAGCATTTGATGCTTTTTGATTGTTAACACTCTGACTGGGCTGAGATGGAATATCAATATAGTTTTATAATGGCATTTTCCTGATAACTAAGAATGTTTAATATTTTCGTGTGTGTTTATTAACCATTTGTAGGTTTTTTCTTTTTAAAAAGAGTCTTGTGTGTCCCAGTTTCTATGGTGCAGGAGATCAAACCCAGAGCTTCCTGAATACTAGACAAGCACTCTACCAACTGAGTTGCATCCCAAGTCCCCATGTGTACTTCTTTTGAGAAGTGTAGTTTCAGTTCATTTACCATTTTATTGATCAGATTATTTGTTCTATTTGACATGTAGTTCTTTTGTTTGTTTGTTTGTTTTTAGTTCTTCATATATTCTAGATACTAATTCTCTATCAGAAAAATAGCTGGCAAAGGTTTTCTTTGATTTTTTTCTAATATATGTATATGTATATATTTTTTCTTATTTTACATATTGATCCCAGTTCCCTCTCCCTCCTTCCCTCCCATTCACCCAACACCCCTCCCATCCTATTCCCTCCCCACTCTACAGGGAGGATGATGCCTTCCAGGAGGGATCATCAAAATCTGTCAGGTCATTTGTAGTAGGGTCTAGGCCATCTCTCCTGCCTCTAGGCTAAGGGAGAATCCCTCCATGGGGAATGTGCTCCCTTTCTTTAATTTTTGAATTGTCTATTCTGTTTTCTTAGCTGTGCAGAAGCTTTTAAACAGGATTCAATCCCCTTTGCCAATTCTGGATATTATTTGAGAAGCTTTTGAGCTCCCATTCAGAAGCAATTGCATGTACCTATATCTTAAAGTATTCTTCTTTACTAGTCAGAGTTTCTTCACTGATATTAAGGGCTTTGATCCATTCTGAATTTATTTTAAAAGGGTGTTGAGTGACTCAGGCAGACCCTATTGTCTGTTGTTTCTTTTCCTCATTCCATCTTGATTGCTGCCACATTTTATAACCCCAGTTTGCATGGTGGTCTAAATCATTCAGGTTCAGCAGATCACATAACATGGAGGTTCTGTGATGGAGTAACTTTCTTCTGAACCCTGCTGTGAACATAGGTCCACCCAGCCTGGTAAACTGAGCACCAAAACACTGTCCCTCACATGCCCAACTTTCCATTTCTATCTTTTTTGTGTTATATCCATTGGCACCAATGGTGGTTTGAATGAAAATGCCCCCCAAAGGGAGTGGCACTATTAAAAGTCACTATTAAAAGTTGTAGCCTTGGTGGAAGAAGTGTGCACTGTGGGGGGTGGGCTTTGAGGTCTCTCTTTCTCAAGCTTCCTTCAATGTGACAATCAGTCTACTTCCTGTTGTCTGTGAATCTAGATGTAGCTCTCTCAGCTCCAGCAACACATCTGCCTGCACACTGCCATTCTCTCTATTCTGATGATACCATGCTGAACCTCTGAAACTGTAAGCGAACCACCCCAATTAAATGTTTTCTTTATAAGAGTTGCCATGGTCTGCCAGGTGGTAGTGGCACAAGCCTTCAATCCTAGCACTTGGGAGGCAGAGGCAGTTGGATCTGTGTGACTTTGAGACCAGCCTGGCCTACAAAACAAATTCTAGGACAGACTTCAAAGCTACACAGAGAAACCCTGTCTCAACAAACACCCCTCCCCCGCAAAAAAGGAGTTGCCTTGGTCATGGTGTCTCTTCATAGCAATAAACACCCAAAACAAGATAGCAGATTAACCTCTCGTAACAACGTGTCCCTAGTGACTCTTATGAACAGGTCTATAAGGAAAGGATAGTGATTTGTCTCACATTAAGTGGTCTTTGTCTCAAGTGGGGAGGAATAATTACATAGCTTGGTCTCTGCTTCCACAGCACTGAGACTGATCCTACTTGTCATAAATCTTCATAACCAGACATTGAAAAAACTCTCATTTCTTGGATATAAGTCTTCCCAATTCAAACAAAGACAGATCATTCCCAGTCATAGTTTTATTACTGGGCCATTTTATTTGTGCCCTGTCTTTATGCTGAATTGTGGACTTTTCCTGCCTTTACAGGTCAGGCACTCTATTCCTCTGCATGATCTAGTTCTTTGCCTCCCAGTAAAGGTTCCTTAGCACAGGTCTAATTTTATTCTCTTCCGCATGTGTCCTACTCACTGTAATAAATGGTGAACATCTGAGTGTTGTGGTAAATTCCTGTAATCTAATAACTTGTGAGGTACAGGTAGGAGGATCAGAAATTTAAGATCATACTTGGTTATATATTGACTTTAAGACCACCCTGAACTGCATACCACATGAAAACCTTTATCAAAAAGTCAAAGGAAAAAAATGCCAGCTTTCTTAGGGTTTCTATTGTTGTGAAGAAACACCATGACCACAACTCTTATAAAGGAAACATTTAATTGGGGTGGTTTACAGTTCCTGAGGTTTAGTCCATTATCATTATGGTAGACCATGGTGGCATGCTAGCAGACATGGTGCTATAGAAGGAACTGAGAGTTAATACTCTTGACTTAAAGACTTAAGACACTGGATGGTATCTTGAGTATATATGAGACCCCAAAGCCTGCCTCCACAGTGGCATACTTCCTCCAACATGGCTACACCTACTCCAGCAAAGCCATACCTCCAAATAGTGCCATTTCTTATGAGCTTATGGGAACCATTTCCATTAAAACTACCACACAAGGTAACACCACTATCTCCCTTTAATTCAACTTTTACTACTAAATACAGAAGATAGCTGCAGTTCTTTTTCCATATGTAATTCTTCTCCTGCTCAGGTAAGCTTTTTCTAGGCAGAGAGCTGAGCTTTAGTTGCATGGTTTATTGCCTGGAAAGGGGACTAAACTTCTGCACAGCCTACTTATAATCCCATCCCTGATATTTTGGATCATTTGGGGCTTATGCCCTAATACACATTGTGAGTCCCATTCATCAAAGATGCATACTACCCCATACAACATAGGGCGTGGTCACTATGACATTTCTCCCAATGACACTCCACTCTTAAATACTTGTCCTCGGTTGCAAGTCCTTTTGCCCATTTTGACAAGCATTCAGCTGCCCCCAAGGAAGCACATCATAGTACACCACATGAGAGAAGATAGCCATACTATAAATTCACCAGTGAACACTCCACTTTCAGACAGATCAGCTGTAGTTGAATGTCCTATTCCTAATTAGGGAAGCCATTCAACTGATCCTTTCTAACTTATCTTTGGTTTTGTCTGCGCCTATTTGGATGCCAATTGTTCTGTGTTGTTTTGGTTTGGTTTTTAGTTGGTTGGTTTTTATTTTTTCTTCTGAGATGATGTACATAAAATGGATTCACCACATAGGAACCTCTCTACATGTATTTTCTGAGTGACAGGGCTAATTTTAATTTACATCACCACCAATAGTGTATGTGTTTCTTTTTCCCCATATCCTAATCAACATTAATTAATATATTTTTTTATTTCTTGATGATAGCCATTCAGAACGGGGTTCAGATAGAATCTCAGTGTAATGTACATTTCATGCCTATGTTGAGAATCAGATAGCTGTAACTATACAAATTTGTGTCTCAGTCTTTGTTCTATCCTGCTGATCTATGTGCCTGCTATAGGCCAATATAATAGCTGTTTTTGTTATCATGTCAATAGTATAGTTTAAAATTATAGTACCTCTGGAATAACTCCTTTGCTGCAGATTGCTTTGGCCTTTCAGGGTCTCTTATGCTTCTGGACAAATTTTGCAATTGTTTTTTCCCCCTATCTCTATAAGAATGCCATTAGAATCTCAGGATTATGTTAAATCTATAGATTGTTATTGGTACTACAGACTTCTGCACAATATTAATTCTGCTAACTAATTCTTAGCATCTTCTTTTTCTTCCTTCAGTGTTTAGTATTATATATTATAAAATTTTCACCTCTTTATTTAACTGTATTCCTAGGGGATTCCTATTTGGGGATGTTGTGAATGAAATTATTTTCTTGATGTAATTATTGGCATTTAGAAAAGAGAAGGTGTGGGGATAGAGTCCTCAGAATACATTTTATGCAAGTTTGAAATTAGCAAAGAATAAGCTTAATTTTAAAATGTAAAACCATTCTTATAACCTGAATGGTTTGTCTTTATTTTCATTATTACAAAAGAAAGAACTAGCAATTGGAGAGATAGCAATAAATTTATGCTTATGTTGTAGAGATTTTTTTTGTTCTCAAACAAAAGCCTCCTTTTGAATAATTACATGCATTTACACTTGTTTATTTACTATTTCCTAGTTTGTGAAATCAAAATCATTGAGCATATAGTGAGTTGAATTACACAATAAGTTTAGGTTAATGAAATTTATTTCCAGTTTTCCCTCCATTTTTCTTTTCTTTATTACATTTCTACTTTCATGACCTGAACAGTTTTCTTTATTTCATTCCACTGCTTGTATTTTCATTGAATTCATTAATAGATTTATCTGTATCCTATTTAAGGTCCTTGAGCACATTTATAATAGGTAATTTGAAGTTCTTGTCTTGTGTTTCAGCTATATTGCATCTCTCAGGGCCATAGTAGGGTTATTGAGCTCTAGTGGAGACATAGTGTCCTGGGTGTTACTGATTGTGTTTTTACACTGGTGTCTAGGCATCTGGATTTGGGATGCTTATAATTTTAGATGCTGATATGGTCTCATGTTTGTTGGGTGGATGTCTTGATCCTTTGTTTCTGTTGCCTCTGCTTCTTTAGAATGTGTGGTTGCTGCCTACCTAGTATGGTCACTGGAGGTTCTGATAGATTGTGTTTCTTGGTATTGGGAGCTTATACTTAGGGATGGAGATGGAGTAGTAGGGGAATCTAAGAGAGTCCACAGGAGGGAGGAAAGCTGGGTGAGCTGCCAGGATCTGCTGTAGACACCTGGGAATGATGCAGATAGGAGAGGCCACAAGAGGTGGTGTTCTACACACCTGGTGGTAAGTCTTGGGGTTTGGAATTGGAGGGAAGAAGGGAGAATGAAGGTTGCGAATTTGATTCCCTATAGCTTGTATGGATTGCCAGATCACAGGGACAGAATAATGGCATAGGTAGTTTAAAAATGATAGGCTTTAATGTAGTTAAGGTCTGAAAACATTATAAGCTCATTATAATCACATTCATAATCTATCAAGTTAGTTAGCAAGATGAGCAGAAACTAAATAAGTCCTGTTATTGAGTCTTAATGTTTAATTAAGGTAACTATTTGAAATAAAAATCATCCATATAAACAAATACAAATTAATACTCCATATCCCTCTCTGGTGGAAGGATTCCAAGTAACCCAGGTTCAGTGTTGTATTGAGTAAATCAGTGGAAGTATCACAGACACTAAGTTTTCATTCCCAGTAGAAAATAACTCCTCTTACATGTGTCCCCCGCCTGCATGACTCTTATACAACAAGCAACATGCTTTATTTACACGCAGCCCTTGTACTTTACAAAGGAAATACCCCTGTTAAAAAAGACAAAACAACAACAACAACAAAAGACATACTAGGTATTTTCAGATCCCCATTTGATCAAAGGACAGGCAGCAAAAGAACACCTAGTAACTTAATAGAAATACAGTATCTCAGGTGGTCTCCATACTCCACACTAGTAAATCTGAATTGGCATCTTAAGAAAAGTCTCTTTGTTAAGACTTGGGGGGGGGGATGGATTTACAGTAGATAGATCCTCCTCTTTGAAATGCAAGAACAATTTCACACGTGTTTTTCATTTTCTACAGTGACATATCTTGTTTGTACCCAGTTGAAAGTTATTAGGAATTACAGTCAAGTACCTAATCTGCTTTACCTCACCACTACAAATGAGAGCCGAGTGTTTATTACTGGTGAGTAACTTTATACCTTCTTTATTGGAAATTTAATATACAATCTTTTCACTGGAACCATTTAGAATATATTAACTTCTACCATATAACATTCAATTTCAGGGTAACTTTATTTTGACATCATTATGACTGTAGTATATTTTAATAAACATTATGAAATAGATTACTTCTATATTAATGCTTGTAGGAAATGGTTTCATGGCACATTAGATAATTGCATTTATGCCATTTGATTAACTTTAATTACTACTTTATATAGAAAATAGAAAAATTGCTTGCTACATTGAAGACTGTTAGGCTTAATACCACAATGTAGAGTTAACATTATTTTCACAATTGTTCTTAGCCAAAAGGCCAAAGAAGTGTTCATTATTTTTACACTGTACCAAATAAAAATGTGGGTCAAAATTTGGCCCCCAAATCTCACATTTAATTTATATGACTAACTCTCATTTGTCTACAAATAAATTGGGACCTCTATATATGTGGGTTTCACATCCTTAAACACAGACAATATCATATCACAAGTATTTGGGGGGGATATAGATAGATAGATAGATAGATAGATAGATAGATAGATAGATAGACAGACAGATATATATGTATGCCAAATATGTATAAACTTCATTCTTACCATTTTTCCTTGAGCAATATAACTATACTTTGTGTGCTTTTGTAGTGTTCTGGGTATTAGAAGTAGTCCAGAGCTCATGAAAATTATCCAGGGGGATGTTCATTGGTTATATCCATATAGAATGACATATTATACAAGGAACTTGAACATCTAATGATTGATTTGTTTAAGTACACAAGGGTCATGGGAAGAATCAGTCACTCATAAATACTGAGGAACAGCAGTATATTATTTTGCACTTAAAACCAATAACATCAAAATTTCCAAAGAATATTATAGAATGTGGTATTTACCAGAATGCTACAATGCTGAAAATGTCTTCATCAATATTTTGTAAATATTAACAATGCCTGTATCAAATACGCCACTTTTTTATGGGTTTAGTGTTTTTCTTTCTTTCTTTTTTTTATTTATTTTATATAACCAAGTCCATTTAAATGAAAACAAACATTTATAGACAATATTTGGGAATTTGGGCGTCTTTCTTTCCAAACTACTTCCTGCTGGTAAGGGGCGCTGTCATGGTGGATTCGAAGAAGATTCAGAAATCCTGGCTGTAGTCTGCAAGGCTGCTTTGTCCAGCTGTTTTGACTGTAGAATCACCTGGTACTCTGTTTCAGGTGGTCTGGCTTGATGAAACCACATTAGTCTGGAAGGAATCCACATCTTTTCATTTTCTGTGGAAACAAAAATATAAATCCTGTTCCCCAGTAACTTGTCCTTGAACTTAAATTTTGGAGTCAAAGCATTTTTTTAATTTAATTTATTATTTTACATGTCGATCCCAGTTCCCTCTCCCTCCCTTCCTTTCTCCCTTCTTCTTTCCCTCCCTTCTTCCCTCCCTTTTACCCCCTCTGCTCTCTCACATGCACTCTAACCACCCTCCCCTCCCATCCCCCCACTCCAATTCCATATGTAGGGGAATGCCATCCAGTTGGGGCCATGTAGGTCTAACAGGTCCTGTGAAGTAGGGACTAGGGCTTTTCTCCTGTCTCTAGATAAAGGCAGTTATCCCTCCATGGGGGATGTGTTAGCAAGGTCCTTTTGTGTACCAGGGATACATCCTGGCTCCATTGTCTGAGGTCCCTTAGACTGCTCAGTCCTTCTGGCAAATACGCCACTTTTAAGTCTGCCTTAAAAACATGAATTTAAACCCTAACCTATGTTCATGTATATTTTAGTTCTTAGATTACACTATACTATCAATTTATTACATTATCAAAAAAACAGTTTTTCAAAGGATGCCAAATATTTAGGAGTTGAGGGGGGTTAACCCCTGTGATCCTTATTATCATAGAGACAGTTTTAGTTTTAAATACAGTTGAGCTCTGATATGTCTGACTTTCTTTACTGCCATTGTATAAATATATGCTACATAGTAGGTAAATAAAATTGCTACATACTATATAGTAAAACTGTTTTACATAAAATGATTCTGTTTTACATTGTTAACTTTTTCACAAAAAAGTCCTTCCAATGTATTTCAGTGACCTTTTTATTTTTCTTTTTATTGTTTACTTTTCCCTTCTTGCAAGAAGGTCATAGAGGCCATCCGTATACATACGATACAAAGGTAAAAAGTTTCATTCAGTGGATTAAAACAAAGGCTGATTCTGAAGTGAAGAACACTGTTATTGGTGGATATTACCCATTTCCACCCGTGCCAGAGACATTTTCCAAGTATAGTCGCTTTATTAAAGGTATGGCTATAATTACCAGTTCCTCTATTTAATGCTACTGGTAGTCGTGTATATTACTTTCTCTTACGGGAGTGAGCCTATGTCTACCAAACCTTAGAGACAATAATTTTGTTCAAATGTAGATACAAAATATATGTTATGTCTCCTAAAGGTTAATGTTTTTTATGTTATTAAACTAAAGAACAAAGAATGTAGAAGAATGAAGACTAACTTGGGGATAGTATCTTGATTAATGTCATTAAGATCAACTCCAATATTGAAAACCTCAACTTCTATTGAATTACAAAGAAAGAACAGTACTATCTAAATGAGGTGCTACACAATCTGATATCCAGATATTGATGGCTATGTGATATTTCTCTTGTATATGACATTATAGTTGATATAAATAAAAAATGACACTAGAGTAAATGGGGTGCTGAATTTGGAAATGAATTAGTGGTGAGAGGATTAACATTAATTTACTTTTAAGTAGAATTAACATAGGGCAGTTAAAATGTTTAACATGTATGTTCATTTTATAACTGGTGACTTTTGCATGTTTGGAAGTAATTAAACATATCTATATGTTGCTATCCTCTTGGGTGACATGTGTTAGCAATATGTTATATCTGATTAGAATAATGAAAATGAGTTTTTCTGGGCAGTGATTAACCAATAATTTGTAGTTTGAAATATGATCTATAAATTATCATCAATATGCATAATTTCTGTTACAAAAAAGACCAGACTAGAAAACTGTATCACAGTTGGACTGATAAATGTATTTTGCATATTTTATGAAAAATTCTTAAGAGGATACCAAATATAAGCACAAAATCTCACAAAATTAAATTATTATGCCAGGTTCACGTTGTAAAGCTATATTGAAAAATCTAATTTTTTGTTAATCATATCTTCTCTTTCAAACTTACAATTTCTTTGGACTTGTTTTTTTTTTTTTTTTTTTTTTTTTTTTTTGCAGCCGAGTCACTCTTGACAGCTATAAGTGAAGTGAGGAAGGTGATTGAAAACTTGCAGTACAGGGAACAAAAGCGCATTGCAATTCAGGGGATAATTACCGCTATAAAGTACATCCCCCATAACTCTTCAGCTGAAAGTGCCCCAGCATCAGAAACATTCCGGGTATGGTTCAAGAGGATTCCTAGTACATCCCTAACAGCACAATGATCATAATGACCATTTGTACTATGAATTTACTTAGTTATAATCTGAGAGAAAATATTGTAATTTTTGTTCCCGTTTTGTTTCTTTTTTCTGTCATTTTTGGGCGAGGGATAAGCCACTTCTGTTCTTAAGGCATCAGTTCCTATCTTTGTTTTCTAAATAGTTCAAGTCTATTGTGTATGTGTTTAATGGCTAGGTGGAATATATGAGTAATTGTTATGCTAACTTCTTTTAGGCTAGAGTAACAGGAAAATTTCCATGAGGGATATTTTAATTCTGTGTCTGTAATGGTAGCTTTACCCATGTTCTGTAGACACAGCAATAACTTTCATAAAAGAAATGGTCAACTCGAAGAGACTGATAACGGAATGTTCATATCATCAAGAGTTCATTTTCCCTGTTCACCTTTTTAAAAGCTATGTCTAGGAGTATTACTGTGTATGTGGAAATAATCATTTAATCCATCTAGTCAGTTAGAGTAGAATAAGAGGACATTTATCTTCCTTAAAATGAATACTAAGTAGAATCAACTTTGTAAAAGTAATATGATAACATCCTGCTCAACTCTTCAAAGTATGGAAGTCAGTTCAGTTTTTCAGAAGAGAAATAATTTTGTGAGTTTGTTTTAAAACATTTTGTCTAACTATTGATTTTAGAATGATAGCCAGCCTTCAACCTCTCAAGCAACTAAAAGAGTTCATCATCATGAAAGAGGCAGTAAAAGGCCTCAAGATGACAGGGCAATGGGTTCTCCGTATTTTCAGTTTGCACCTATCGTTTTTAATCTCTTCGCAAAAAGAAAGATTGTTCAAGACCCATGTGCTAATCCGTAAGTCATTTGCATTATATATATATATATATAATATATATATATATATATATATATATATATATATATTCATTTTCACCATCATGCCTGACTGCCTAATTTTCTACCTTTAAAAAATTAGATTTACTTTATTTAGTTTTACTTTATTTTCTATGTATGAGTGTTTTACATGTATGTATGTATGTATGTATGTATACCACTTGCTTACCTGGTGCTCATGGAGGCCAGATCCCCTAGAACTGGAGTTACAGATGATTATGAGCTACCATATAGGATCTAAGAACTAAACCCAGGTCTTCTGCAAGAACAAATGCTTTAAAACACTAAGCCACCTCTCCAGCCTCCATATTTCCCTTCTTTATAAGGGCACCATTCATACTGGATTGGGCAAACACACTATTCCAGTACAAATTCATTTTTTCTTTAGATAACATCTCATGAAGGCAATGGTATTTCTCATTTTCAATTTTAAGGTGCCAAGTGTTGGATGAACTTTTTCTGGGAAGATAAACATCTATCCCAGGGTAATAATTCTTCCCAGGCCTAGTTTGTTGAATCATTGAGTTTAATTAGGATTATTTACAGGATCATAGGTAAGGGGTCATTTACTGGAATGTAAGGAACTTATTAATCAGCTACATCACTGAACTACCCCCTTTCCTTGCAACTGTTAACTGCTTATAGAATTTGGGGGAGGGGTAGGATCCCTTCAGCCCTGCCCCTCCATGAAGGAATATCAATGAGCCCAATCTTATGTTGTTTTCAGTCCAGCTGCTGATCCCAGGGTAATGGCCATGTGGTGCATAGAGGACAGCATTCCAGCAACAATGTTTTATTCTGTTTGTTCTGGAATTATTTCAGCACAGAAAAGGAAAGTTATCCCTAACTAAAAATCAGGGGGAAGAGTCTATAGGAAATAATAACCAAGTTAATATTCAAAGGGCAAACAAGAGTTAATTGAGCAGAAGAAAAGAGGCATAGAACTGTTCCTTGCTGAAGAAAATAAATGCAAATCTGAAGTACTATGGAAGCAACAAACTAGAAAGTGAAGTTGTAGAATGGGAAAGGTTGTTTTACAGAACTGTTGAAAACATGAGAACTTATTTTGAAATCCCCATGCTAAGAATGATAATGAAGTTAAATGATCTCTTTTATAAAATGTAACTCCATTGCTGTGTTATGAACAATATAGTATAGAAATTTGGTCATTTTATGTATATTTAATGTATTACTTTAAGAAATGTATTGAAATAAAATAAAATCTGAATAGACTCAATTAGGTTTTTTCCCATCTAAATCTCTTTTTTATAGTTGGTGGTTATCTTATTTTTTTTTATCATTTTCAGGGTTCCTGTGCCTCAGCCACATTCTCCTGCACAAAGTAAAGGAAGCAAACACCACTCCCCGAGTGGCTTGCACCGTATGTTGCTGTTTTTACTCTTATTCTTTACAAAAGTTTGTGTAACTCTGTTGCATATATGTGACTATTTGATTTTATGCTCCAGTATTGTGTAATAGCTCCTACTAGTTTCATATTAGTTTCAGTCATAGTGAAAATTACTGTTTGGTTATATCTGTAAGGTGCAGCCAACTATAATAATGCCTGCCAGATTCTAGGAATAGGAATACAAGCATGGAGATAAAATGCTTATAAGGTATCATCATACAATTAGCAGGAATTACCTCTAGTATATAACATATTAAGGTAACTATAGTTGACATTGTGTGTTTTATAATGCCTAGAGAAGATTACAAATGTATCAAAACACAAATGCTGTTTATGAGGTGATAGATCTTCCAGGTACCCTGATCTCATCATTATACATTGCATAAATATATTTAAACATTACATTGTACCCCAGAAATATGTATAAATGTATTTTTAGTCCATTATTCTTGAAATTTATCTTACCTGAACAGCTACCAAGTATTAAAATGGTAAGATATGGTTTAAAGGGAGATCCACCATCAGCACCGAGAAGATATTGACTAGAAGGAATAGATTAACCCCAGACACAGAGCAAAAAACACTGGTAAACAGAGAGGAAGGTTAAGGTCGATACCTTCAGGAAGAAGGACAAGTGTGTGTGCAAGGGAAGTGGTCACAATCTCATCAAAGAGTCTTATGACCATGGCCATGTGATAAGTGTGTGCTACCAATCCTGTCTGCTGTAAATGGTAAACTGCAACTAAAAGAAATATTTATATGTCTATATACCTAGTATGTTTTAAACTCATCTAATGAGTGCTGTTGCAAGAAATAGCAAGTCCTGAAAGGAAAAGATGTATTCAAAGAGCCAATTTTGCCATATACATCTATGCAGTTAATTTATCTCTCTAGAAAAAATTCATATGTCACATTATTTGATCACTACACAACAATATTTGCTGAATATCTGTTATATACTAAAGTTCTAGTTTCTTGTTAACAAAAGAAACTCTCTCCCATTTAGCACATTTAGCAGCATGCACCCTTCCGTCCATTTGGAGGTGCTCTTGTATACACTCTTAAAATGTAACCAGTGTCACTACAAAGCGAAAGCAGTTATTCTCTATCTTCTCTACCTTAAAAGTGACTTTCATCAGCATTTTGTCTTAATGCTCCCTTTTAATTTTTTCCTGCTACCCAATAACACTACTAAAGATTATTTGTATCAATAAATGGACTAATGATGATCTTTACAAGTAAAAGTAACCAGAAAAATATCTACAAGTTTTTTCCTTTGGTAGCAGCAAATAAGAGTTTTTTTAGTTAACATGAGAGTGGTTAAGTAGGTTTAATTTAAATTAACAGTCAGAATAGGCAAATCTAAGCCAAGTCTTTCGTTTTTTGTTTGCTTGTTTATTTTATTTGTTTTTATTTTACCCTGGAGGATCCTTGAAAGGGAGAAGAGATCAAATATATTGTTCTAAACAAGTCTTATTTTCTTTCTTTGCTATTAGGTCAACTGATTTGAATTTAGGGTTTGTTTCTGAAGTGATTTCATAATATAATTTAGTACTTATAGAATATCATTAGAATTAGAATTATTTGCTTTAAGTGGAATCTGAAACTAAGGGATCATCTCTCTGGCTTTAACATTTTATTGTAGCCCTTTATCTTCATCTTGTCATTGGGTGTGAATTTTATGAGACTGTAATTCACACGTATTTGCATCAGCAAAAGGGTTGAAAGAGTGGAGGTTCTGGATAGCAGACATATGATTCCTTTTCCTTGGTGGAAATGGCCTGCAGAAGGTGACTGCAGGAGAAGGTGGGAAGGGGAATGGAGCATCATGAAGAGAGGGGCCTCGAGGAGGAAGCAGCTGAGTCCTTGGACGCAGCTCAGTTACTGGGGCAGTTTATTTTCCTAATGATAACTATTTTGAGAGGGGTTAAATGGGATCTCAATGTGTATTTTATTTGTATTCCATGATAGGTAAAGATGTTGAATACATTTTTATATATTTATTGCCTATTTTTACTGGTTTGGGGAATTGATGCTCACTTCATTTGCCCAACAGTTGATTTTGGTTAATTGATTTGGAGTATCTAGTTTTTTGAAATCTTCATGGGTTCTGGATGTGAATCTTCAAGACATGGTGTGTGTGTGTGCACGTGTGTGTGTGTGTGTGTGTGTGTGTGTGTGTGTGTGTGTGTGTGTGTGTGTTGATCCTACACCTTGCCAACTTGCTAAATGACTTCAGTACCTGTAATTACTTTTCTCTTGTTCCTGTCAGATTTCCTATACAGGGCATCATATAATCTACAAGTAAGGGTAATTTTATTGTTGTTGTTTAAAGAATTTTAAAGATTTTGAATTTTACATAGTGAAGCCAATCTGAAATAGAATGTTGCCATTTGAAATGTTTGAAAGAATTATTTATTTTTATGTGTATGGATGGAAATTAGGCCAGCATGTAAATCTGTACAGCACATGCATGCTGCAAGAGGCTGTTGATTCCCCTGGAAGTGGAGTTACACATGGCTGTGAGCTGCCATATGGGGTGCTGGGAATGAAAACTGGATCCTCTGGAAGAGTTTAAGGGTAATCTTACTGTCCCTTTCCAACTTGAGGCCATCCATCTCTTCCTTTTATTTATTTTTAATCTTTAAATGTTGTGTTATATTTATTCATGAGGGCAGTAAATTAGGCATGCGTGTGTGTGTGCCATTGTTCATATGTCGACCTCTGACAACTTCTAGAAGAAAGTATCTCCTTCTGCCATGTAGATCTCGGGGACTGACCTCAGGTCATCAGGCTTTGTAGCAAGTGCCTTTATCTTACAAGCCCTCTGTTTCTCTTTCATTCCTTCCATCTCTCTTCCCATTTTCTTAAAGTACAGGTTTGAGTAGAAGTAAGAAAAGCGAGCAACCTTATTTTGTACAAGATCACTGAGAAATTTTTTTTTTCACATGAGATTCAGAACTTTTGAGATAATACATCCATAGATAAGGGAGAAGTCTTTCTTTTTTCTCCATTAAGAAACAATTATACATTAAGTTTTTCTTTTTTCCTTTTATAAATTACCATTGTCCTTTCAAGTAAGTTCCTACCTATTCCTAGTTTGCTAAGTACTTTTTTTATCATGAGTGGGTGTAGGATTTTGTTAAAGTTCATTTGACACCATTTGAGGTAATTATGTGGTATTGTCATCATTGAATTAATGTGATATATTTCTTTTCTTATGTTGAGCAACTTGACCATTTCTCAGATAAAATCCTGCTTGATTGTGGCATAGGATCTTGTTAGTACTATTTTAAAACTGGTTTGTTGATGTTTTTCATAATTCTGTATCTATATTAAGAGATATTTCTAAAGGATTGTGTATGTGATTTTTTTTCCTTTAGTGTCTGCATCAGACTTTGGTACTGGTAATACTGGCCTTGTAGAATGGGAAAGGAAGTGTTCCTCCATCTTCTGTTTTATAATCCTGTGGAAGATTATTTTTTTTCCATACTAGGGGCTAAGCCTAAGGCCTCTCACATTCTAGCCAAGGACTCCACTGAGCCATGCCCCAGCCCAGTTCTGTTTTAAATGTTTTATAGAGTTCACCAATGAAGCCGCCTGTGTCTGTCTGTACTTGTCTTGTTGAGGAGGTTTTGGTTATTAGTTCAGTCTCTACTTGTTACAGGTCTACTGAGAATGTCTACATCTTCTGGTAAAGTCAAGCCATTTATTTGTTCCTAGGCAGCATCTGTTCTATTACTTGTATTATTGACACATAATCACTTCTAGTATTCCACTGCAATATTAGTTCTCTAAAGAACCACACTTTCATCTCTGATTTTAGTCACTCGTGTCTTCTCTTTTTGCTTGGCCAGTCTATCTAAAGATATTTTTTTTTTTTTTAGCTGAAGAGACAGTTTAATTGGTAAAGTGCTTGTTATGCAAGCATGTGGATAAAGGTTTTCATTCTGCAAACACAGGCTTAAAAGAAGATAGGTTTGGCCCCAGGCATTTGTAAACCCACCCCTGGGAGGTAAAGACAAGAGAGGGTCGCTAGGGCTTGCTGAAGTGCCAGCCTAACCTATCTGTTAAATTCTGGGCCAGTAAGAGAATGACGGTTGGCATTTCAACATGGGTGGGGAAAAGTACACAAGGTCCCACGACTAGATGAAGAAATACAGGTAATGGCTGCTAAGAGAATGAAAGAATCACTCTTCTGAAGGGAAGACCCTTCCCCCCAAAATAGGTTATCCAGTCCCTAGTATTCATCCCTAAACACACACGCTCTCTCTCTCTCTCTCTCTCTCTCTCTCTCTCTCTCTCTCTCTCTCTCTCTCAATAAATCAATCAAGCAACAAAATAGAATTAAAATTAGGGTGAGAAAGGTAATGACTGAGGAGAACACCCAGCATTGACCTCTGTGCTCCACACATGCATAGGCATGCACATACATATGAACACATATGTACACATATATACAAGATAATTTTGAAATTTCCAAAGAAAAGTTTTCATATATTCTCTATTACATATCTTCTCTAAACACTATTTCCTATTATCTCACAACATAAAGTTTGGTTATTGACTTGGAAGCCGTTACTATCAGCATCTATAACAGTTGGTAGTCCACCACCCCTCATTATGTCCTCAGTTCCATTCTGTATTTTCATGTTCATGCACCTTAAAATATTGTCTGATTTCCTTTATGATTTTGTCTTTGACCTATTTCTTATTACTTTGTTGTTTTATTTTCACAGGTCTCTGAATTCTTGTATTTTTTTTCCCTCCGTTAATCTTTTCTAACTTCTGTTACAGTTAGAAAAGTGAAGATTTTGGAGGATTTTTTTTTTAACTTATTGAGACTTGTTTTGTGGCCTAGCATATGGTTTTTCTGGGAAATGTCTCATGCATTCTTGAGAAGAATGTCTACTTTATTTTTGGGGGTTGGAGTGTTCTATATTTATCTGTTCTGTTTGGTTTATGATGTAGTT